CAAATGGCTTCCATGCCTAAGGCGGGACTAGAACTCACTGTCTCCTGGTGATTGGCCCAAAGTCACCCAGCCGGCTTTCATGCCTAAGGCGGGACTAGAACTCACCGTCTCCTGGTGATTGGCCCAAAGTCACCCAAATGGCTTTCATGCCTAAAGTGGGATTAGAATTCACTGTCTCCTGGTGATTGGCCCAAAGTTACCCAATTGGCTTCCATGTCTAAGGCGGGACTAGAACTCCCTGTCGCCTGGTGATTGGCCCAAAGTCACCCAAATGGCTTCCATGCCTAAGGCAGAATTAGAACTGCCACCTGGGTGACTTTGGGCCAATCACCAGGAGATGGTGAGTTCTAATCCCGCCTTAGAGCAAAAAGCCAACTGGGTGACTTTGGGCCGATCCCTCTCTCTCCCAGCTCAACCTACCTCACAGGGTTGGTGTGGTGAAAATAGGAGAACCGAGTGTTGGATATACTGTATATCCGTTGCCTTGAGTTATTGGTTAAAGAAATAATAAAGGCAGAATATTAATTATTTAATCAATGCATGAAATAAATAAAAAAGGGGTTTGGGTGCCTGGGGCGTTCTTTGGGACACGCCTTACCTCGGTTCCTCAGCTCAACTGGTGGAAAACGGTGGCTCTCCTCACGTTCTCCCTAGGTGTCGGCACCTGCTTTCTATTGCACCGAGAAGGGAGGCTTGTCCTGCATTGGAGTCCAAGAGGAGACACAATAATGGTTCATTGACTTGGAGCAAACAGTGAAGTTAACCATGGTTAGACCAACCATGGTTAGACCAACCATGGTTAGGTCCACATCCTCCTTTTGCACGAAGATGCTCTGAGCTGCGTGCTAAGAACGTGGAGGTGTCTAACCGTGGAACTTTAAGACTTGTGGACTTCAACCTGTGTAGTCCATGTACCATGTTTCCCCGAAAATAAGACCCTGTCTTATAAATATTTTTTTTGCCACCAAAAAAAGGCACCAGGTCTTATTTTGGGGGGAAGTCTTCCACTGACTCACCTCACTTGCGCATGTCGCCCCCCAGCCTCCTTTTCGCTGTCCGAGGCCTTCAGGAACTTCTTCTTCTGCGGCTGGCAAGGTTTTCCTGAAGGCCCCTGCAACCTTCAGGATCGATCCAGAGCTTTGTTCTCAGCTCCAGAGGCCTTCGGGAAAGCCTTGCCAGCTGCAGAAAAAAATAGGCCCGCAAGGCAGGTGTCGGAGTGTGCCGGGGCCTGGCTACACCTGTCCAAAGGTAAGTGGGCAGCGACTCTGGAGTGGGTGGGGTCTTAATTAGGGCTTATTTTTTTGGGGGGGGGTAGGGCTTATATTGGGCACATGTGTAAAAATCAAGCTAGGACTTACTTTCAGGGTAGGCAGTATTATCGGGGAAACAGGGTACTTTGCTAAATTCATCTTCAAGACAACAACAAATTCTGATTTAACAAAGAACGGTTAGCATATTGTACTGTTTCCTTTTCTTAATATTCTTAAAAACTTCAGTGGATCAGATCAAAACTATATGACCCCTGCTAGCTTTTCTATTTCCAACACTGCCTTCAAGCTCAAACAAGAAAGTGACCATTTTTCCCATTCTCAGGTACACTGCTCCTGCCAATGGAGGCTCATTTCCACCCTCAAGAGCTAATAACCGTCCTTGGCTCCTTAAATCTGTCCAACTGTCAGTCCCCCCCCCACCCAAAGAATAAAATAAATAAACGCTCCCATTTATAAAATCCCAAGTCCTTTCAAAATATTCTAATTCTAAACAATTGCATTTGTCCAAAATAGATCCTTTGCAGGAGAAAATTATAACAGATACCAGAAGCTTTGGGAGTTGCCGACAGCTCGTCCTTGGCTTCAGTTAAAAGAAAAAAAGAAAAACTTTTGCATTTATTGGGTTTGTTTTATTTATAACTGGAACACTGTTCCGTCTTTTCTGACCTTGGAATGAGAAAGCGAAACTGATTCAAACAGAACAGCGTCTTTTAAGCAGGAGGCAAAAGTGAAACTATTGCAGCCGGAAACAAAAGCATCAGTTTAAAGCTGCATTTCTCCAAACCAGCGAAGTTAAGGTGTGTGGATTTCAACTCCCAGAATTCCCCAGCCAGCAAGGGCTGGGGAATTCTGGGAGTTAAAGTTCCACACATCTTAAGGCTGCTGAATATTATTTTTAAAGCAACCACTTTGCTTCTTAAACTTTTAAGGCCTCCAGAAGAGGCTTGGTTACTTTTAGTCTGCCAATAAAGTACACACCCGGGGATTATGTTTCCCAGGTAATTGATAAATAGGTGTTTTGCAAACAGATTATGTTCCCCAGGTAAATGATAAATAGGTGTTTTGCAAAACTTGGCTATTTTAAGACTTCTGGGTTTCTAGAATTCCCAGGACTGAATGCTGGCTAGAGGATTCTGGGAGTTAAAAGTCCATTCACTTTAAAGCATGCTGGCTGGGGAATTCTGGGAGTTGAAGTCCACCTGCCATAAATTTGCCAAGGTTGAAAATTGTTGCCCTAGAGCAGGGGTCTTCCAACATGGCAACTTTAAAGAGTTGTGGACTTCAACTCCCAGAACTCCTCAGCCAGCCACGCTGGGAGTTGAAGTCCACAAGTCTTAACGTTGCCAGGTTGGGAGACCCTTTCACTCAATCGTCTATGATCCAAACACCTCCAGCCTCTATCTGAAGATTTCATGTGGCAGGTTGTTCCACCGGCTGTCC